GCTTTTCCCTCTGTGCACAGAAACACCAGACACTCACATTTTCTTGCTTAGTCACTGATCTCACACAATGCAGTAGCAACAGCTGCACGCACCTCTCAGTGCGTTCCATTCTTCCAGGCGGCTTCAAGGCCAGCCTGTTCTCCCAGCGAGTAGCCAGCACACTGGGTAACCGGCTCAAGCCCCTTGCTCCCCACTGCACCTTCCCTGGGGCGTGGGGTGGTCCCCGTTTTCCACAGAAGACCCTTTACAAACCCGGAAGTGATCAATCACATTATTAGAGAAAATGAACATAGACAAATTTGACTGGGAACAAATAAGGAAACCAAAATATGAAGGGTTACTGTTTGGTTGACAGTGCAATCTATTGATAACAGGGACAGACAAGTGGCTGCATCCACTAAACTAATTAAGAATGTATGTGGCCTTGGAGATTATTTTACCTCTCAGCACTGGTTTTATCGCATCCCAGCATATATTCGGGGATATGTTGCTTTTACCATTTTCTGTAAAATAAAATTATTTTTTTAAAAAATCAATCACATGGAGCAATCCTCCTATGCGACCGCACCGCTGTGCTGCCCTGCAGCTCTCCCCCATATCCGGTTCTAACTGTCGCTTCTTGACCCTTATACAGGATTCTCAAGAGACATGTGAGGTGGTCTGGTCCTCCCATCTGCCATAGTTTGTTGTGATCCACACAGTCAAAGGCTTTAGCATAGTCAATGAAGCAGAAGTAGATGTTTTTCTGGTACTCTCTTGTTTTCTCCATAATCCAGCGAATGTTGGCAATTTGATCTCTAGTTCCTCTACCTCTTCGAAACCCAGCTTGTACTTCTGGCAGTTCTCTATCCACGTACTGTTGAAGCCTAGCTTGTAGGACCTTGAGCATGACCTTGTAGCCTTGTAGCATTGTGTTATTGATCAGCATTGTCTACCCTGATTGACAGCTGTTGTTCTCTAGAGCAGGGGTTTGCAATGCCAGCCAGCACCTTTCCAGGAGTCCACCAGGTGTTTTTAGTCAGTGGGCAAGCTGGGCTTCTGATTGGCTCTGCAGATTTTTACAAATGTTGTTTTGGCGCAGCTGCTCCACAGCACAAGGATCTCCATTGTGTGCCTTTAGGTAAGCTGTGTTTATGTAAGGAAATATATTTTTAAGCAATATGTTCATTTTTAAGAGGCATGGAACAGAGCTTCTGCCTGAAATGCTGAAGAGTTACTATTAGAGTGATGCATGACCTCACGTCCTGACATTTTGCAGTTGACTCTGCTACTTGCAGCAGCCGTTTTTTGTAGTTATGCCCACCCACCACCTGGTGTCAGAATTTCAAAGATGCCTACAGACTCAAGAAGGCTGGGGAGCCCCACTCTAGGGTCTCTGAAAGATCTTTCCCAACTCCTACGTATTTCTTGAAATCCTCTCGCAGAAGATTTTTATTTTTTGCTGAGTATTGTGTGTATGTGTGTGTGTGCCTGGAAGTCATGACTGACTTCATTGGGGCTTGGATGTTTCAGAAAGTTGGCTTACTACTGCCTCCCTCTGCATCCTGGCCCTGGTATTCCTTGGAGGTCTTCCTTCCAAGTACTTGCCAGGGTCGGTCCTGCTTAGCTTCCGAGATCTGACAAGATTGGGCTTCCTGGGCAATCCAGGTCAGGGCACCCTCACTGAAGATTTTAGAACTTCTGGATGCAAAGCAGAGCCTGAACTACAGCCTTTCCACCTACTTTATTAGGTATGAGTGTCCAGGTGCCTGGCTCCTGACTAGCATAATAGGTTTTAACAGAACCAACCAAATAATATATTGCACTGTGTCAGCCTTCAGGTTCACATGAATTTTTCTTCAGGCTGAATGTTACAAAAAAAGAAAAAGTATAAAGAGAGTTTGGGAAAGGAGAATACTTAGAACATGACGTAAAGGCCTGTATTGTATGTTAACTGCAGGGGCAGACTGGGAGTGAAAGGGGGCCCTGCCCTCCCCTGTCCAGAGGAAGGAGAAAGGGGTAGCCAGCCTGCCCAGCTGGCCACTGCCTCCCCTAAGTGGGGCTTGAGATGGCTGGCTGGCGCTTCCCCCCCAGGCCACATGGCATCCAGGTGGACCAGGTACCACCTCCCCCAGGCTGGTCACATCTCTTTCTGTCGTTAGGCTGGCCTGGCTCAGGTGAGGGGCACATCATCTGCCCACTGGGAGAATTCCTGGTAACTACAATGGCCAATCCGCCCCTGGTTAGATGCAGACCAGATTGAAACAGCTGGTTTCAAGTTACTCCAGGCAATAAATTGAGGCTGAAATGAGGAGGGAGGCTCTGAGGCAACTGCCTTCTGGATGGAAGAATATCCAGTCCCCCATTCTTCCCTCTCCTACAGAGTCCCGCAAGGCCCTGATCTCAATTGGGAGTGTGTTCCACCAGGCGGTGCCAGGGCAGAAAAGGCCCTGGCCGAGGCTAAGCGGATGTCCTTCGGGCCAGTGACTACCAGTAGGTGTTGTTCAGCAGAGCACAAGGGTATCTATGGGGAGAGAAGGTCCTGAAGGTATTCCGCCCTCCTCACGAATGGACTCAGGGCGGATCACAACAAATAATTAGGCCATTCGGCATCACAAAATACAACAGTAAATAGTTAATTAAAACATTAAAACAAGGAATTTAAAACAGATTGCACTAGTTATTTCACAGTCTCCAATACTGGTGCTGCTGGACTCTAGGTTTGTTTAATCCGGGCTGTGTGGAAATGGTGTCTTCAGCAGGGGAGGCTGACTTTTTTACTGGACACCTGCTGCCACAACCAAAGGCCTAGCAGAACAGCTCCATTTTACAGGCCCTGTGGAATGAGAGAAGGCCCCGCAGGGCCCTGATCTCACGTGGGAGCACGTTCCACCAGGCTAAACAGACGTCCCTCGTGCTGGGGACAGCCAGATCTTGATTGGCAGAGCACAATGCTCTCTGGGGCACATATGGGGAGAGGCAGTCCTTTAGGTATGTTGGTCCCAGGCCACGCAAGGCTTTAAAGGTCAATACCAGTACCTTGAAGCGGATCTGGTACTCAATTGGTAGCCAGTGCAATTGGAGCACTAAGTGACAGCTGAATGTGCCTGCACAGGCAACGCAGTCAGCAAGTGTGTCGCCGCATTTTGCAACAGCTGGAGTTTACAGATCAAGGGCAAGCCAACGTAAAGCGAATTACAGTAGTCGAGCCTGGAAGTGACCATTGCATGGGTCAGTGTAGCCAAGTCCTGGTGGGAGAGGTAAGGGGCCAGCTGCTTGATCTGCTGGAGATGATAAAAGGCAGACCTAGCAACTGTGGTGACCTGGGCCTCCATAGAAAGCGAGGCATCCAGGACTGTCATAGTGATTACTTGTCTGAACGCGTCAGTCAGGAAATATTGTGCAGAGGGTTGGACTAGATGACCCTGAAGGTCCCTTCCAACTCTATGATTCTCTCCTCTTTTTGGCTTTTCAAAATAGAGACTTGAGTTTCCTCAGTCATTACAGTTTCTAATAGCTCTCCGTAATTCACTTTTTGAAAATTTTAACTGGCTGTTATTAACATCTTTCATCATACTATAACCTCATATCCATTCATTTTCACTTAAACTGTTTGCTTCTGTGTTCAAAATGCTGACCTCCCTCACCATCCAGTATTTGTAACTGCGAATTCTGTTGATTTATGGACTCACACCTACCCGTTCTTCATCAACTCTTTCTTTCCCTCTTACATTGCAATTTATACCTTGAAGACTCATGGTACAATTCATACCAAGCCTTGATAATTCCTCCTGTCCAACTTTCCCCTTAAGATTTCCCAGTATTTATCTGAGGAAGTGGGCTATGCCTCAGGGAAACTCATACTGAAATAAATGTTGATTCAGGTGGGGCAACCGTGTTGGTCAGAAGCAGCAGAACAAAGTTTGAGTCCAGTGGCACCTTTAAGACCAACAAGCTTTGTTCTGAAATAAACGTTAGTCTTTAAAGTGCCACTGGACTTTTCTTTTGCTATGACACACTACCATGCTACTGCTTTACTCTGGAAGGCCTGGTTCCACTGCAGGATGAGTGCTAAAGGCCAAACTATACAATACATGCAGATGCATGTATAATTCCATGGTAGGTTTTGTTTGTTAATTTGTTTTTAATTAAAAGCAGGGTGAATCTTCTAGGAATTGTTCTATTCAGAATCCCTCTCCTGATAGCTAAATCTTTCCACTACCAAATGTATAATTTTAAAGAGAAAGTTGCCCGGCAAGAAAGAGTTTAATGGCCTGTAGCTTAGTGATAGGGCATCTGCTTTATGTGCAGCGGTTCCCAGGTCGAACCCTGGCATCTGGTTAAAAGGGCCAGGCAACAGGTGATGTGCCAGTCAGAGCAGTCAAGATGAAAGGCTAGACCAAATGTCCCATACTTTCTTTTGCCTAATCTGAAAATATAATAAAAACTACCAGTAATTATTAACGGAACAAATTTAAAGCTCAGTGGCACTTTTATGACCATCACAGGGTTATTCAAGGTATGAGCTTTTGTGTGCGTGGCACACTTTTTTAAATACAGAAAGATACCGGGAAAAGTGTGCATGCACACGAAAGCTCATACCTTGAATAAACCTGTGTTGGTCTTACAGGTGCCACTGGACTCTAAATTTGTTCCTCTGCTTCAGACCAACACGGCTACCCACCTGGATTAACGGGACAATTAGCGTGTTCCTTTCCTCCGTTCTCATTAACGCAGGTCAGGATCTGCATTCACTATATTAACTGTATTTGTCAACCAAAGCAAAGAGGATGGCTGGTTTTCTTGTGGGCGGTGCTTCCTCCTCCCGTCCGCTTCGTTTTCTTCCCTGAAAAAAGCAACGTGGCTCACAAAATCAACATAAGGCGGTCGCTAAATCGCCGCGACCCAGTCAAGCGGGGAAAACATGCGGGCGGTGTGTGTTGTTTGTGACAACGTCAGTCAGTCCGCCTCTCACGTCGGCGCATGCGCTGAAACGGAACGTATTTGTGCTGGAACCAAAAACAACCAAGCTAGTCGGTCGGACGGCGAAAGGAATCCCAGGATGACTCCTTGAGCGATGAGGCGTAGCGGTAACGTCCTCGAGCTCTGCCTCCGAGCTTCGCTTGAAAGCCGGGATGGTGAGAGGACAGGCCGCAGCCGTCATGGGTGGAAGGAAGAGGGTTTCCCTCATCCAGCAGGAGCGGCGAGCTTTCCTTTCCGGTGCCTCACGTAACGTCGTCGCGCGCTCGCCCGTCTCGCGCCGTTGCCTAGGAGACTGGAAGCGGAGGAGTAACGGCGCGACGGGGGCTACCGGCCTCAAGATAAACGGCCGCGCGGGCTCCGGAGCCCGTGGTTTTTCATGCAGCGAGAGCGTCGGCTCGGTCGGGGCGAGGGCCGGTTTTCTCAGCCTAGATGTGGGTCGTCGCCTCGCCACCGAACAGCGAGGTGAAGAAACGGGGTGTGTGTGGGGGGGGGGGGGGTGGGGGGGGTTTCTCAGGGAGGGAGGGAGGCGGTGTACAGATAGATCCGTTGTTAGTTGGAAGTCTCCTGGGCTTCGTTTTCAAACGATCCTCCCAACAAATCCATGGGACTGTTTTTAAGCAGAGGGAGAGAACGGAGTTCTGCTGATTTAGGGCGACTCTGCGTTAACTTTTCCCTCCGTCGTTTTAGGAAACCCACGTTGGAACAGAAATTCTTCTCTGCATGCTGCTCTCCGCTTCCTTTGACCATCCGATTTTATGGCACTTTCTGCCGTTCAGGGGTGACTTCGCAGTCAGTACAGCTTGGCCCACGGGGTATTTGAATGTGGTTTTGAGCTGCACCTTTCCCTTAGTGTTGAGAAAACGTGGAGTGAATGCCAGATCGCCCTTAAAAGGGAGCAACTTCTTGGAGTCTGTGTTTTGCTTAGGATGACTTCATTTTTTGAGTATAGTTGGAGTCCAGTGGCACCTTATAGGCTATCAAAGTTTATCAATTCATGCTGGAATAAATTTTGTTAGGCTGCAGCAACAAAATAAGTGGCACTTTATGGATTGAGATGGCTACACATTTTAGGATTACTTTTCAAATGACAAATACTTTTTAATTGCTTTTCAAATAGCAGTTCAGATACCTGGTCATAATGTGCATCTTCCCCACCTGAGTTCTTTTCTGAGATGCCTGATTTTGCCAGCACTCAAAGCACTTTTAGATTATTTTGCTTTCCGTGAATGCGTTTAAGTCCTTTTTTTGTTCATTTTATCTCACCATTCTTCCATAGAGCTCAGTGTTGTGTATTTAATTTTCCCTCCTCTATATTATCCTCACAAACGCCGTGTAAGGTAGTTTAGGCTGAGAAAGAATGAGAGGCCCCAAGTTACCCTGTGAGTTATATAGACAAGTAAGGACTAGAATGTGGGTCTCTCTGATGTTAGTCTTGCCCCTGCCCCTTGAACCTTGCGCCACATTGGTACGTGTCTATCTCTCTTCCACAGAACTTCAAAGGACTTAAAAGTGCTTAGCTTTGGCTATTTAATTCCCATTGTTTTGTAAAGTAATTTTCTGTTGAAAAGCCAACGGGGTGTGTGTTTTGTCCAATTGTTTTAAATAAAAACATTTTATTATATATTCTGCATTGTTGTAAATCCACTTTTAAGATGGATGGGATGAAGACTGTAAAATTCTTGTACTGAAAAACGTAGCACTTGTGATAGCATGGACTTGATTTACTCGTGATGGAAAGGATGGACCCTTAGCAAAGAACACAACTTTGCTATTCAAAACTAGGTCTGATGGGTTGTTTTTTTCCCCCTACCATGTTTTGAGCCAAAGGAAGATAAATGGCAGCATGGATAGAATTGTCCTATGACTGTGGATTGTAAAGTTTGGAAGGATTTGGATTTTAAATATGACAGTATGTATTAAAATATGTATGGCTGTGTGTTAAATTGGTCCTGATCTCCCCCCTTTTAGATATCAGCATCTGTGCATCACCCCTACAAGTAGAAAACAGTAAGGCAAGTTTTCCTGCGTCAGGAAGCAAGAAGCTTTATTTTGACACCCATGCCCTTGTGTGCCTTATGGAGGAAAACGGTAACTTCTCTGCTATATATATGTGTGTGTGTGTGTGTGTGTGTGTGTTCATACTTACTATGGTACAAGTACCTATATTATTCCCACGGTGCCTCTTCTATCTACAGCTGGCTCCCAGAGCATCTGCTTGATGCTATCCTTCTGTCTCTTTCACTCTGTTCCCTTGTTTAAGTATTTATAGGCTACCTTTCTCAGATGCATCTTAAAGAAGTATATGATATACAGTCTGTCAGGACAGGCTTCCACACAGATTATCTGCCATGTGTTCAATTTTGGGGTTTTTTCCCTGCTTCCCTGCAGCATTGTGGTGCATTTGTGCACCACCTGGGGCTTTGCCGCCATTTCTCCAGTCTTTCTCAAACCTGCTCTGTTTTCAAATTTTGGGAAAGATTGCAGTAAAGGCTGGATGGCTTCTGTGGGAAATTTGGATTTTCCTGCCCACATTTCCTGCCTATTTCCCTGATCCTTTCAGAGGATAGCCGTGTTGGTCTTCGGTAGAACAGCTAGATTTGAATCCAGTAGCACCTTAGTAACCAACAAGATTATAAGCTTCCGAGAGTCAAAGCTCTTTTTTGTCAGATATGTTTTGACTCTCAAAGCTCCCAAGATCTTGTTGGTCTCTAAGGTGCTACTGGACTCAAATCTAGCTGTTTCCCAGATTCTGTTTCCACAGCAGCTATTTCCTCCTCCTGCCACCAGAGGGCTCCTTTATTTAAAAAAAATTACATTAGAATAGTGGTTCCCAAACTTTTTTTGGCCACTGCCTCCTTGGTTCCATAAATTCATACTCAGAATAAGTAAGATAATAACAATACATTACTGAAGATAAATGATGCTGTTAAAAGAGATGAAATGTTGATAAGTTTTGATAGCTTTGTAGGATTAAAACCGAGGGCATCCTAAAGAAATACGTTATAATTGCAATAAGGTGGCCTTTATGGAACTTTTGTGATGTAATATGCAGTTGCCAAAATTTTGCTAAAGGGAAAAGTGCACGCACACATTAGGGACATCTAAAACCAAAGGTATTTTTCCAAGGGTCAATACTTTGGCCAAAGTAAAAGGTCCAGGGAGAGCAAAAAACTAAGCAAAGTAATGGTTTTAAACTTAAATAAAGAAAATGATTTTAGTTCACCTCCATTTAATACTTCTCCCCCTTTCATTTTATTCATTATTATTTCACTTTTTTCTGAATAAAGGACAGTGTGTTATATTTTCTTTATAAAGGTTTGTCTAATGTTTTTTGCCAAAAATATACCCGCATTTTCCTCCACTCTTTATATTTATTTACCATAATTTTTCCTCTTATTGCCAAAATTTTTGTTATTTATATCCTAAATTTCGCCCTCAGTTACCCCAATTTTTCCTTCTACTCCCTAAGTTTTTCCTTTAAAGTTCTTTTTTGTCCTTTTTGAAAACAGTTATTGAGAAATTATGGGCCCTGGGTTTGCTAATGAAGTGGGTGGGTGTGACAAAAAGAAAACAGTGGTGCCTCCAGCCCACTGGCCTCCCCTTGCTGTCAGGGGGGTGTCCAGTAGGCTACAAAAGGAAGGCAAACATAGCTCCCAGACCCTCCAGTCACTTAAAGCGATACAGAAGTTGAACTTAAAATAGAAGTAATTCAACAAAGGGGGATGAGGAATCAAAGCAGGACACACACGCATACAAAATTCAGACTTAGACAGCACAACTGACAGTTGTAACAGAAAAGATGGTTAGAGTCTTTTACGGTCTCTCTGAGGCCTTCAGCAAGTTTCTCACACTCTGTCTGCTGCGGCCTGGAGGGTTCTCTACGGTGGTAGTGCTACGGCTCTTCAGGCTTTTTGTGTTGCTGCAGCTCCTGAGGTTCCTTCTCAGGTCACTCTGTTCTCTGCCCTTGGACCCAGATGGCTTCTGTCTCCTTTTTTTCTCCTCAGAACTCCAGCTTTGGTAACCACTCCATTAGACTATTGTTATATGAGTATACTGTTGTAGCAGTAGGTGGAACAGGGTCTGAATTCACAGCTTTTTTTTAAAAGTAAGTCTCTGTTCCCTTCCCTTATGGAGATATGAAGCAATAGGTATATTTTTGTAGCTAACTTTTTTTAAAAAATGAAAAAGTAAAATAGGCTTACTTTAAAAAATGAAGGCTGGAAATTCACACGACCTGTTTCATTTGACATTACAATAATATATTGATATAATGATTTTCTAGTGCCAATTTTAAAAAAACGCAAAAGCCCCATGGCTCAGTGAGGGGTGGGGCCACTACTTGGGAACTTTGGTAAAGAAACTGCAGGGAGACAGATGCTGCTGTGCTTTATCTGCAGCTGCACCAGTAAAGGGGAAACAACACAAGCCCCTCCCCATGTGGAAACCACCACAGAAAGATAAAAATAACCAACACGCATCAGTAGCAAAGACTAAAAAGTCACAGCAGTCTGACCAGTACTGAATTTTTAGGGGTTCTCTTGAATCAAGCCTTTTTGCAGACCCTCCTAAAAACAGACAGCAAGTGGGCATTCTGTACTTCTAATGAAAGCTCATTCTAGAATGTTGGAGCAATTGCAGAAAATGCTCTGGCGTGGGCCAGTGCTATTTGAGGGCACTACTAGAAGAAATTGCTATAAGACACCTAAATTGTGCGCTATTAGATACTGAGGGAGGTGCTTCTTCAAGCCCAGCTCAGAATGCATTTTTTCAGTGAACTCTATAGCATACCAATCTGTAAGTAAAATGAATGCATATTCTTTCCATAGTCATTCCTACCTCTCTTTGATGTGTTGTTTGTGGCAATGTTTAAGTTGTAAACTCCCTGGCATTTTAAACCCTAGATTGATGACAATACAAATAATAACAGTGGGTTTTGTTCTAGTCAAATCCATTGTCTACTACAAGGGATAGGCTCCATTTTTCTTTATGCCTGTGTACCATAATTAAATATTATTACTAATTTTTGTAGATACAATTGGTGTTCTTTGTTGCATTTATGAATATGCCATAGCTCAGATTGGACAAATGTCTGATAACGTCTCAGAATACTTACTTTTTAAGGATCTGATTTTAATTTCCTGACCATTCTACTGTAGTGAAAGTGCTATAGTTCATTATGATCCATCTTAAAAATAAAAACTATTTGGCTTTGTGTTAGAAACTAAATTTATTTAGATATATGGACTTGACAGCAAAGTAAATCTTCATGAGATCCAGGAAAGTTGGATCCCCACCTCAGAATTTAAACTGCTCTCTAAATGGGGAAGATAAGTCTTCTCTGCAAGCAGTTATGCCAAGACTTGTTAAGGCTGCCTTTGTTTTTGTGAATATTATGTGCCATCAATTTCCAGGTTTTTTTGTATGGCCAAGTTGTGTATTAGTCACCCATGGTCAATCTTTGTTCAAGCATGGAGGTTTCAGAATTTTGCAATCTTGTATATCGTTCTAGGTTTCACCACTCTGCAATCCGAGATTATCGTGTCTGCTTTAATAAACACCATGAATGGCAATATGGCTGTGATGTACAAGGACATGGTCACCAAAGTACAACAGGTTATATATAAAAATTTGGAAGTTTCTTTAGTGTTTAATTTTAGCCAAGTATTTAATTAATGTGTTTTGGAAAACGGATGTGAAAAACTGCATTGCTAAAGGCAAAGGGTGGTCAGAGTTGATAACCATTTTTCTTTAAGTGCTGTTTTCTGATCCCTAATAAATTTTCTGATATTGGTTCAGTTAGGTTTGATTCTTACATTCATTTAACAAGCTGAAATTGTTCTTGTTTATATGTGATGGACAGCTTCTGTAACACACATTATTGGTTCTGCTTAAAAGTGGAGAGAAGGAATTGCTGGAAGGAGTAAAGTCGGTGAATGGACTCATATGGACTAGCAACAGTGTTTGGTAAAGGACTTTAAGTTCCTGGATGCCATTAGCAGATTTTTAAACCCCAGGCCTACACATACAAGAAAAGCATACCAACACTTTTAGGCATCTAGATCTGTTTTTAAAAATACATTAGCTGCAATTGTATTCATTGTAAGGATGGAAATGAGTGACTCTCAAATTGTCCCAAAGTTGTGTGTCTGAGGCAAGGATTTGTTAAGCCTTAGTTGGAAACATACATACCTGAGGGGATGTCTTACTGACTTTGTAAAATGTGCTTCCATCAAAATGTGTTTACGCTTACACCATGATCATAAATGCATTAATCTGCAAGTCAATTATACTGAAGTCATTGAAACATTCTCTCAAGTATGCATACTTAGTTTTTCAGCTTCAATGAGGCATTGATATTTCTTAGGTGTCAGCAAATTATTTTTCTTTTTGGTGGTATTATAACTGGTAATGAACATAGTAGGCATGAGTTGCATTATTGTGAGTAATGGCCTTATTGAGTGCTCATAGGTGCTTAAGAAATTTAATGACTTTATCCCTAGCTGTGGTTCATACATGGGCTAAAGATTCCTATGGCTGACTTCATCATAATTGATACTGGATAACTCAGGAGAAATGTTAGTTCTTGTCACTGTCCGTCATGTTCTTGTGGTCCAGTGTGCTCTTCCACCAAATTCACCTCCTCTCCTCAACCCTTTGCTGTGTAATTTTTTATCAGATACTGGGTTTAACGACTGCCTGTTCAGAGTTGCTAATCTAGACGTTATATTGTAGTGGAACAGTTTACATTGTCTTCCATATATTGGTCTTATTCATGGAATGTTGCATTTTGTCTGTACTAATAGTGGAGCTGTGGTAGTTAATAATTGTCATCGTTCGTCAAATAATTCTCTGCTCAGTCCTGTTAGTGTAAAGAATGGAGAGTAAAGCTAGTTGAATCAAAATCCTGCAATAAAGCTGTACATTCAATACAGACTTGACTCTAACTTGCTCTCTGATCCAAGCATGCCTTCTGTTAACTACTAGTAAGCATTGTTTGGGTAATGTGCATGTTAGTGTTTCCCATGTAGATTTTTGAGTTAATAATAGTATTAACAATACTAGCATATATTAGAACAGAAACTGATTTCCTTATGGTTCGAATGTAAACCCTGTGCTTTACTAAATCATTTTCGTAAAGCACACATTCCACAGATGGAGTCTCACTGGGCTCAGTCTAGCCCTTCTCCCCTTATTCCCCCCATACAACTGCATATATGTATGATGGTAGGAGGAGCCACTGCAGGCAGTGGAAGGCCCATGAGCACATCCTGTACCCCCATCCGGCCTTCTCTGTGTACCCTGCATGTTACTGGTAAGTGTGCTGTCTTTGTTGGCGAGGCAGAGGGAAAACAGGAATCTGTTGAGCCCAGTGGGATTCCTCTGTCCATAGGCACTACACCTGTGTTCAACTAGACTGAGCCCTTGGACAGTTTGGAATTTCTTAATACTAGTTACAGTCTTGAGTGTATAAGAACAAAGAAAAATACTTAATGGTTTTTGGTGGTTAGTCTAAAGTTTTTTTTTCCTTTGAAAGGAAATAGCCCTTCAGCGGATAATGTCTCACATTGGTGTTTTGAAAAAAGATATGATCATTTTGGAGAAGAGTGAATTTTCTGCACTTCGGGCAGAAAATGAGGTAAAATTCATTCCACAATTATGTCCACATTTTATTAAACTGTTCCTTATTCCCAGTGGGCTCCCAGTTCTCTGCCATCAGAATTACTGTGTCAGTAAATGGCAGAACTATGTTGGTTATTGCTAGGGTTTGTTGATGAGCTTTCGTTTTAACAGACACAGTCACTGTAGGCCATTTATCAAAAATTTTCGCTTGAAACTTTTGTATGAAATGTGCCAAAGGGGAAAGATAACAATAAAGCAGCCATAGAAACCAGTTCATGGAGTCAAGCCTTATGAACCTGACAGAAAGCATTTGAGGTGTGATGGCAAAGGAAGAGAAGTATGCTTCTCTCCAGTTGATTTGAGTGGGGTGTGGGTGTGGCATGGTTCAGGTGGATGGCACTCCCGATTCATTTACTACTTAATGTTCTGTTCGGGCAGCCGGTACAAGTAGAATGTCTTAAGTATATCTGTTGTTGAACTTAGGAGAAAAAATATATTGAGTTTCTTGTGGAGGGAAGGCTTCTTCCTTCCAAATTTCATTGTATATAGAAGTATTGGCTCTCTACTAAAAACACCAAAGCTGCAGTGTAATTTAACAAAACGTTGTTTATTGATACTGGAATTTCAGCATGAAGGTGTCCAAAATCTTTCTTGAACTCACTTTCCCAACCCTTCTGGGACAGCAGAGCAGCAAAATTTTAGTGGCAGCCAACTGGACTGTGATTCTTCCTGTGCTGCCCCTTGTAGATATTAGAATAAATCCGCTGCTTGCTGATAGCTCCACAGGCTGTGAACATGTGCTTAGAACATGCCAGCGTTTTTGTGAGAAATAGTGTGTATGCTATGTTGGAGACTAGCCTTTGGAAAAAAATACTGAAGCTTTCTTATTTACTCGTGGAGCAAAACAGGTAATATGGGAAGGAAATAAAGTGATAGGAGTATCTCATGGAGTAAATGTATGATAAGCACCATGGATGGAGTCCAAAAAAAGCTGCTTACACATCTGCATGTTCTGTTGCATGATTTGGGCTCTTCTCATAGTCATATAACAGCTTTTGTTTTTACAGAATCTCAGATTTCTCAGTTTCATAAGCTGCAGAAGCAAAATATAGAGAGTTTTGATTGAGTGTGTGCATATGTAAGGATAATTTTTGATCTTGTATTCAGCATATGCATAGTGGCTTTAATGTTGTAGTCTGAATGTATGAAACTTTAATGTGTATGTTTATTTCTTTTCATTCAAAGAAAATAAAACTTGAACTTCAGCAGCTAAAAAAGCAAGTGATGGTAAGTTACTTTGTATGTGGTAACTCTAGGAGGTAATGGGTGCTGTCTAAGAGTTGACGTAAGGGTAGTTTAGGCGTCCCTGAATCACAGCCATTGATTTGATCGTGTAAAAGGCATATCTTGGATAGCATACAAGTATTGAGGACTAGATCCTTTGGCTTAAGACCTCGGGTCAATGAAGCTAATAAATGAAATGGAGGACTAGATCCTACAAATTGTGAGCACAAAAGAAAAATTGGGTCTTTTTCTCTCCCCCTTCTGGGCTATGGGCTATGAAGAGGGAGAATCAGGTGACATTTCCCCTTCTGTTCTTTTGCTGGCAAAATTTCTACTGACATAAGAGTTTCTACTGACTGTCAGTGGAAGAAAGTGCAGGTAGTGTCATCTGATTCAACCCAGAACTCTGTGGCATTTGTCGAAGGGGTACTCATGGTTCTGAGCATCAGCTTTTCAGAGATCTCAGAAGGCTGTTGGGGGATGAGGAAGTGTGAAAGATTTGCAGGTGATTTCAGCCCATGGGTTGCAGGATCCAACCCAGGATTGTGCACACTGGCATGTATCCTGCCACTCCTCTTAGCAAAGTTTGGAGCCTTCCTCCAACTGCAATGATTCTTCCTCCAGCAAAAGAGCCACTTCAGCTGAAGGAAGGCTTCAGTCTTTGCTGAGAGAAGTCGTAGGATATCTAAACATCGGTATCGAAACATCGGGTGCAGCTCTAGAATACTGCGCTCAAAACTATCAGTGATGGTAACTTAGCATTTTTTAGATGTCTTAATGGGGCAGGGGGTAAAATTGGAGAAAGCACTTGGCAAGGCTGGAAAAAAAATACTTCCAGTATAAGGTTGCCAGTGCTGAAAGATGTGGGGGAGGAGCAGAGACTTGGTTATGGGCAGTGTACCACAGCTGTAACATCACTCCTTTTGCAATCCTGGATTTGACATCACCAAGTCAGGGCACCATTCTAGAATTCGCCTGGAAGTGTATTGTTTTCCCATAGCATTTGCACCAGAAGTGGCACCCCAGCAATGGTACGCTGCTGATTCCTTCCCTCCCATTTTGCTCCAGGAAGCAACAGGGGGAGCTGCAGGGCCCATATCACCCTATTCAGACTTCTGAAATAGCCCAATGGGTATAATGAAAGAATGCTATACTATTTTATGTGACATTATTGGTTTGAATGTAATGAATTTAGACATTCTGTGTCAGTATTTCTGTGCAATTTTTCTCTAGGATGATACTTCCAAAGTTCGTACGGACAGCAAGTTAGATTTTAACCTAGAAAAGAGCAGAGTAAAAGAACTGGTATGTTTATTTCCTCATATCTATATATAGATTGTTCTGAAACACTGCAATGTACAGCTCTGACAAAAATGGTCTCTGTGACCTGTGAAGCCTCTTGTGCTAATAATTATATCAGATAGAATCTGTGGCCATTGTAATAAACAGTCATACTCAGTTTTATACAGCTACTGAATTCAATTATGCTTAGTGAGTATAGTGTCTTAACTTTGTAAAAATTATGTAATAAAAACAACTTATTGATACTGTTGTCTCCACAATGTACTCCTTGAATGCTTGGTAGAACACAGTAACTTAATCTGTATGATCTTCATAGTAAACGTCCTCACACATCTAGCATTCTACAAACATCTCTTGGCATGCATAGTTTAAAAAGCTAGCCCCTTAGTTCTTTGTAGGCTTATAAATAGTTTTAAAAACTTAACTATTATCCCAGATACGCTTTACATGAAGAAATGATACAATTGACATACAGACGACCAAAGGATAGAGTGTTTAAAGCCAGAAAGTTATTAGGGTTGCTAGGAAGGGTAAGTGCTTGGGTCTAAGTGTTGTTTTTGTTTTTTAGAATAATCTATTACTCTTATTTTTCAGTATTCGCTGAACGATAGAAAACTGTTGAAAATGAGAACAGACATTGTGGAATTGGTAAGAACTTAATGATTGATTGTGATAACAGCCCTCTCTATGTTGTTTGTGCATGTTTATCTATACAGTCACTACAAATTGAAATGGCATTTATATATCCACGCACTGACATAAAAACAAATGCTTGGGTATGCAAAATAAAATAGTATTTAAGAACCTTTTATTATGTTCAGTAACTCTGGAAATGCTGAAAGTACAGTGCACATTATGAGATTTTTTTCTGGACAGGAATATATACAAAATTGGGAAGGGTCTCTTTTGAGACTGTGTTCTACATACACCTGATTTTGGTCTAGGAAAAGCCCTTACATTTTATCTGAGTTTAGAGCATCATCTTGTCAAATGCTGTGCTGCAGATATCAAAATATATTCTGCCTGATGTTTATTTCTGTCCTCAATGTGGATGGAGACTGCCCTATTTTTGAGCACTTTGCCCATGTTCATGAGCACCCTCAGATAAATAACATCTGAGAAACTTAACCCAGGTGGTCTCTTAAAGGCACATTTATTCCCAAAACCTATAAAATATCTTAAGAGTGCATTATTAATCAGGGTAGTCGTGTTCTTAGGTGCATATGACGAAAGGCATACACCATCCAGTAGTCTTAGGATATATGATTTGACCACAGTTTGGTGTCCACAGTTTTGAACTTTGGCTTAAAACACAGTATTGGTATTCACAATTTTTCTTTTGAGAGTGAAATCCAGCCCAGGAAACATTATTCTTGTAATTTCATGCTTCAGCTTGTAGAGGGTGTTTTCATACAGGCTGAACTCTTTGGCCACAGAGGAAGTAGCAAAATTACAGATGCTTCTAATAGTTCTATACACCTTTTGGTATTAACCAAGTTTGTAGTCTGAGCGCTTTAACTGTGTGAGGAAAGCAGGTTGCTTACCAGTAACTGGTGATCTTCGAGTGGTCATCTGTGCATTCACACCCATGGGATCTAGTGTGCACGCGCTGGATCGATCGGTGCTGTAGCAAGCTCTTTTAACGGATTTTCGCACCCAGTCCCTCGGGCATGCGCAGGAACCCCACTGTGCATGCCCAGAGGGGTGGGTGCGGACATCCCGCCAGTTCCTTCAAACCGCCACAAATCAACCCCTATTAAAAATGTAGAACCTGACAGCAGCGGGAAAGAAGGGCAGGTGGTGTGAATGCACAGATGACCACTCGAAGATCACCAGTTACTGGCAAGCAACCTGCTTATCTTCGACGTGGTCTCTGTGCTTCACACCCATGGGAGATTAGTGAGCAGCAGCCTACCTGGAGGAGGGTGCTGGCAGGTCTTTTACTGTGTAGCCGAAGACAGAATGTGACGTCCCATGTTGGTATTGGTGTTTGTACGGACGTCTAGGGCGTAGTGCCTGATGAAGGTGTTAGGTGTGGCCCAGGTAGCGACTTTGCAAATGTCCGTTATTGGCACTCCTTGGAGGAAGGCAGTGGAAGTCGTGACAGCCCTGGTAGAGTGAGCCCTGATAGGGCCAGGTAATGGCTGTTTGGCGAGTAGGTAACATAGATGGATTAGACCTACAATCCACTTTGACAGGCACTGGGCCGTGATACGAGTACCCAGACGTGCCGGAGCGTACGAGATGAAAAGTTGTGAGTTCCGTCTAGTTGGGTGTGTTCTATTGAGATAGACCAGGAGAGCCCGCTTCACGTCCAAGGTGTGTAATAATCTGTCCTCCGCTGATGATGGATTTGGAAAGAAGTCAGGGAGGAAGACCTCCACCTGCAGGTGGAACTCTGACACCACCTTCGGCAGGAAGGAGATGTCCGGGACGAGGCCGACTCCATCTGGCAGAAACGACAGGTAAGGTGTATCGTGTCGGAAAGCCAATATTTCTCCAACTCACCTTGCCGATGTGATAGCAATTAAAAAGGCCGTTTCCCATGCGAGGAGTTTGAGGTCACATGTAGCAAGCGGCTCAAAGGGCTTCCTCGTGAGCTGGCGTTGAACTAGAGGAAGGTCCCAGGGAGCGACTGGAGTTTTGACAGGAGAGTAGAGGTGTAACAAACCTTTTAAAAATTGTTTGGAAATCGGATGAGAAAACAAAGTGCATCCATCAAGTAGAACATGGTAGGCCGAGAGAGCGGCCAAATAAACTCTTAACAATGAATGGGAAAGTCCTGAGTTAGCTAAGGAGAGGAGGAATCGGAAAACTCTTTCGAGACCCACTGAGGAGGCTCGAGAGACGTCATCACCAAGGTAAGAACAGAACCTTCGCCATTTATAATCGTAAGACCTCCGCATAGTAGGCTTCCTGGAATTCAAGAGGACATTCACTACTCGGGAGGAGAAGCCGGTGATGTTATCTGCCATGCCGTCAGTTTCAACTGTGGTATGTGATGTAGGACGGGGGAGTCTGAGAGAAGGAGGAGGTCCTGAGCCGGAGGGAACTGATGGTACATCCCCTGTGATAACTCCAGGACCGTTGAAAACCAAGGTTGTCTCGGCCACCATGGGGTTATTAAGATACAGTCCTCAGCGTCTTTGAGAATTGTGCGGACCATGGTCAGAAGCAGAGGTAAGGGGGGGAACAGGTAAAGAAGTCCTGAGGTCCAAGGGTAAAGGAGACCGTCTCCTAGAGATTGTGGGTCTTTGCCTCCTCGACTGCAGAACAGAAGACACTTTTTGTTGTTTCTGTTTGCAAAGACATCGACTTGGGGAACTCCCCACTTGTGGAAGAGTGGGAGGAGGTATGTTGGGTTCATTCCCCACTTGTGAAGGCTGAGTCCTGCTCGACTTAGATGGTCTGCCTGCACGTTCATGCGTCCTGGAATGTGAGTTGCGACGAGGAATATGTTGCTGGCGATGCAAAACTCCCACAGCTGAATGGCGAGGGTGCAAAGTCGTTGGGAAACAGTGCCTCCTTGCCTGTTGACATAGGAAAGTGCTGTGGTGTTGTCCGTGAGGACCGTGACACATTTTCCCTTGATTAAAGGGAGGAAACTGGTGACAGCGTGTTGTACAGCCAGGGGTTCTAGAAAATTTATGTGTTGCTTCCTCATCTGTGTGTTTCACTTGTCTCCAACAGAAAGGCCCATGGAGTGAGCACTCCATCTCATCAGGGAAGCATCCGTCATAATGGTGATTTCAGGTGACAGAGGGTGGAATGGCGCTCCCTGGAGGATATTTGAAGTGACGGTCCACCAAAGTAAAGAGTCCTGTATGCTGGGAAGAGGGGATAGGACGACAGTGTGTGTGTTTTTCGACTGGTCGTAGTTGTGGATGAACCAGAGTTGTAACGGATGCATCTTGAGTTTTGCGAAGACGAGAACTGACGTAGTTGCAGCCATCAGGCCTAATAGCCTCTGGATTTGGAAGGCAGTGACGGAGGGTTGGGTGCGGATGACGGTGGCTAGGGTTGTGTTGACTCGTAGGCCCAGGTTGTCCAGTAGAGCCAGGGTCTCCCTGATGTTTGAGACCAGGGCATTCTTGGACGGCGCTACCAGAAGCCAATCTATATACGGGTAGATGGAAACTCCCTGGAGATGGAGGAAAGCTGCAACCACAATCATAGTCTTTGTGAAGACCCTTGGGGCGCTGGATAGGCCAAATAGTGCTGCTGACCAATCGCAAAGCATAGGTATTGGTGGTGGAAGGGGTGGATAGTAAGGTGGAAATATGTGTCTTGGCCATCCAGACGTGTCTCCAAAGCAATGGCATGATCTCTTGTAGGGATACCATGCAGAAGTGGTGGTAGGTCACAAAACGGTTCAGTTCCCTTAGATCTAATATGGGTCGAATGCCTCCGTCTCTCTTCGGGACTGTGAAGGATCAGGAATAAAATCCCGTCCCTTGGAGGTGTGGTGGTACCTGTTCGATGGCTCCCTTCTGCAGAAGGACGGACACCTCTTTGAGGAGAGGTGGGGAAGGGGGCGTGGAGACGACGACAGGAGTATTGGGGTTCTGGTGAAACTGAATTTTGTAACCTCGGGTCAAGATGGACAGCACCCACTTGTCTGAGGTGATGAGACGCCAGGTGTGAAAAAAGGGAAACAGACGGGTAGGAGCTGACTCGGTGACAGGGAAGTCAAAAACCCTGCTTGGAGGGTTTGGACTGTTTGGTGCGGGAAGCTTGTTGGCCTGAACCGAATTTTGGTTTCTGAAAAGCAGGTCTTTGGCCTCCCAAAGATGCTCGTGGTCTCCATCGGGTGTCTGGAGACTGATTAGTTGGTGTACGCTTCTGCCAGGACCTCGACCAGGTGCGGGAACGGTATTGTTGTTTTGCAGAGGACGAGACTCCTAGAGCTCAAGAAGCTTTTATGCTTTTGTCTAACTCTTGTAGAGTAGTATCCGTGGTAGCGTTGAAAAGCCCCAGGCCATCGAAAGGGAGATCTTCTACATAAGATCTAGTATCTATCAGGAGATTAGTGTTACAGAGCCAGGAATGTCTTCTGAGAGCTATTGCAGAGGCCATTGTTCTGGAAGACGCCTCGAGGACATGTTTAGTAGTGTTGAGCTGTTGTTTTGCCAACACCATGCCCTCTTTTTGTATGACTCTGGCTGCTTGAAGTTTATCATCTGGGAGGTGGCTGAGAAGTTCAGATAACCTTTCCCAGAGAGTGTATTGATACCGGTTCATTCAGGCGAGGTAGTTAGTAGACTTGACTCCCAATGCTCCTGTGGAGTAGAAGCGCCTGCCAAAGGCATCTAATTTCTTTCCTTCCTTGTCAGAAGGTGCAGAATGTGACCTCTTGGATTTGGAGGAAGATGTAATCACCATCGAGTTTGGCTGAGGGTGCGAGAAGAGGAATTTAGCATCTGCCTCTTGGACCTTGTACATGTGGTCCAGTCGTCTTGTGGACACAGGAGCAGACGAAGGTTTTAGCCATGGTGACTTCGCCGCCTGCAGAAGGACTGAAGACATGGACAATGCCAGGGTGGAAGAGGTATCAAGCTGAACTATGTCATAGACTGCATCTGTAGACTGCGGATGTTGTTGGACGACAGAGAGGCCTAAAGAGTGGGCCATCCTTTTGACTAGATCAG